AGAGAGGGCTGTAAAACACTGTAAAGAGGTATATAAGTCTAAGTGCTGGTGGTGCTGTTGCTACATGTTAGATTTATCAGATCATAGCTGAAAAAATTTGCAAGACCAAGATAGAATCAAAGAGATGGTTTTCTGTATCTCTTTACTGCCAAATATTGGTTGTCTGGATTTTGTTCAGGCATGGTAGTGTACCTTATGTATTTGTAAATGTTTATAAAAGTGACTTTCTTTTGAAACTAAATATTAGTATGGAAAGGTAGGGCATTTGATGAAAACCACAGTGCAAGTGGGAAGACTATATTTTATTTTCTTCTGTCCTATATTGAAAATTCAATCTCCATCATTATCATCTTCATCTTCATTATTGTTGTTATTATTTAATTTTTATTCTGCTCTTCCTCTTAATTAATCTTAGGGGAAAAGCTTCCCCTAAGATTAAAAAGCATTTTGTCACTATAAATTTGGTTATGTCTCCCTCTTTGCATTCCATACCCAATGAACATTGTTCCTCAGCTAATTCATGATTAATTTTTTATTGTGCAATTACAATCCTATCACATTCATTACTATGTTTCTTGCCATATTAATTTCGGAGGGAGTCAAGCTATTCTCCAAAGCCCCTGAGGGCAGGACAAGAAGCAATGAGTGGAAACTAATCAAGAAGAGAAGCAACTTAGAACTATGGAGAAATTTCCTGACAGTTAGAACAATTAATCAGTGGAACACCTTGCTTCCAGAAGTTGTGAATTCTCCAACAGTGGAAGTTTTTAAGAAGAGATTAGACAACTATTTATTCTAAATTATATTAGGCTTCCCGCCTGAGTGGGAGATTGGACTAGAATACCTCCAAGGTCCCTTCCAACTCTGTTATTCTGTTCTGTTATTTAGGAAGAACATATACAGGTACCATTTTATTCAATTGCTTCAATTAGAATTAACTTTAGCGCTTCAGACAAAGATTGTATTGCTTGAACTAACACATCACATTAAGTCATAATATGTGTGTAGATTTTTAATTTTAATTTTGACTTAACTGTTTCTTTGATTCCTGCCAATGCAGTTTATAAAACATGGGTCTTGTTAGTATATACCACCAATTATAGTTTATTCATCAAGCCAAAGTTAAGCAAACCACGACAGAGTAAAGTGTACACTCTGTCAATTAGTGGTTGATTTTGCTGAAAAGAATTTGATAGCATGTCTTCATTGCCCAAGAGGGCAGCACTAGAACCAGTGGATTAAAATTACAAGGAAGGAGATCAAGCTAGATATCAGAAGGAACTTCCTGACTGTTTGAGTAGTCAGATAGTAAAACAGACTGCCCGCATGAAATGGTGAGGTCTTATTTGCTGGAGGTCTTCAAACAGGCTGGATAGATATCTGTCAGGGGTGCAGGGGATCTTAGGAGAGTTCTCAGGTCCCTTCCAATCCTATTATGCCATCAATCCATGAACATTTAAATGTTTAATATTTTATTTATACTCAGTGCAATTAGAAACAATTCTGTAGATTAAGTTAATGTTCCAAATTTGAGGAATTATTCTTCAGTAATGCCAGATCAAAAAGCTAAGGATTCCAGAAGGAATTATATCTCCCCACTTCACTGTCTCCTGGTCTAGTGGATGGAGCTACCACTCACAAAAAAGATGGACACTCCTAATTTGCCTTCATTCTACCTGAGTTCCATGTTGCTAAACTTTCTCCTGCAATTCTGCCTCTTTTATGGAGTAGAAGTATCAAGTATAATTTAGCAACTTAATTTCTTTTATGGACATCCATTTGTCTGGAATGGAGCAGGGCCTCCTGCTTCAGCAGAGGGTTGGAGTAGAAGATTTCCAAGGTCCCTTCCAACTCTGTAATTCTATATTGTCCTTAATGTAATCTACTTGAAATTCATAGAACAGGTGGCATACAAATGCAAGTATGGGACTGATTTTGAATAATCTTGTTTTGAACTTGAGCTGTGATTTCTAGCCACTTAATGTCTTGTCCCCTCACCCAGAAAAGAACCAAACGCCTTATATTTACTGTCAGCAAACGTAAAGTGGTTATGAATTTATTATGAACACAAGAACCACTTGTGACAAGAACATAAGGGTGGAGTCAGAGTGTCTTGTGCAGTTGCCAAAGAGGGGATTTATAGAGCCAAAACTTCACATGTTTTTTTCCCTCCTTCTTGAATGTCGGACTGTGGAAGTTGTTTTCAAGGTAAGGTTGGTAAAGCAGGCTGAAATCAGAATAAAAAGAAAACAAAAATGCAGTATAATATATCTGCAAAACTGTAGCCATATATGAGGATTAGCTGAAGTATTTTGGCAAGAACAATAGGAAAGATTTCTGTAGGTTTTTAATTTAATTTTTTTTTTAAGTATGAATGGGTATGAATACATATTTAACCTAGAAATGCAAGTTTCTGTTCCACCCCAGGGAACTATTCCATTTCATCCTTAGGGTTTCTCCATAGTTAATACAGAAGGAAATATATTCTTCTTATTTATTGGAAGTGATTTTTTAATTTGAATGTCACCCAGGACTATTGTTATTTTGAATTATAAATGGAGAGAGAGAAATTGAATCAAATTAAAACAATAGAATAGAATAGAATAGAATAGAATAGAATAGAATAGAATAGAATAGAATAGAACAGTTCTCACAAAAAAGTTTTCACAAACATCCCATTACAAAGAAGGTATTTTTTCCCCCTTAGAATTGTAGGGTATAATAAGTAGGTACTATCAGTTCATAATATTGTGGGATATGATGGTTGGTGAGGAAAGGAAATATTTCCTTGTATGACAAATATAAATATAGATCTTGTAAAGGAAAGGAAAGATTCTTCTTGCTGGTATTTTTCCCCCTTGTAACAAAATAGATTGGCTTGTTTTACATGAGCCCTGTTATTTGCTACAGAGCAGCATTTTAGTGGTGCCTTTGATTGTTTGTAAATATGAGAGCCTATATGATAGCCTTGATGTCATGATAAAAAATACAGGAATGATTTAAAAAATTGTTCCAACTTTGGGTAAAATAACTTTGGACACTTTTAGAGACAGCTTTTCAAACATTATTAGACAGCTATGATAAACCCTAGACTCCATTTCTCGTGGAAAGGGGGGAAAGGGTCTATCTTTCCTCTCCACCATGAAATCCTCAACTCAATCCTTTTTTTCCCTTGAATTTGAAAGTAAGGCCAATTGCATGATCTTGATCTCAGGCACACACTATTTATTCCCTTTCCATTGTTTTGCTTATGTCACCCCTTGTTCCAGATTTGCTTCAGCAGTGAATAGAAGTGGAAAGGCAGACTTTTAAGAATGTTCTTCTTGAATCACTCACAATGATATCATAACTAGCTTTCTATGGATGACCAAAAAACTGGGGTACCTCAAGGAGGACAGGAAGAAGACTGGATATCCCTTTTACTTGTCCTCCACAGCTCAGTTTTTTACAATCTATTGCCACCACAAATTGTTTGGAATATAGTCCCCAAAATTTCCCATCAGCTTTGTGGTGTTTGGTCCTACCAAAGTTGGAGAAGGCTAGTAGGTTGCTTGCATGACTTCATATTTTTAAATAACTGCAATTGAATAAGTGGCAAAATATTCAGAATGGCTATGCTAATTTTTAATCTGTGTAAGAGGATGGCAATGGCAGGAAGTATTAGGTGCACCTTTTTATCGCAAAGATGCACTGAAAATAGAGTCTTCCTTTGGAGATATAAATTGTGTGGCGTGTCTTAGAAATTTAGTCACTTGCTCAAGCTACAAATAAACAAACTGGAATGTAATTTTCTGGTTAAAAGAGAAATCTAGAATCACAACTTGAGAATTCCCTAGGGTTCTGGACAAATGAGTATTATTATGATTATTAAATTATATTTTACATAGTAGCAAGAATTTTTACCTAAATCATCTTGTAAGATTAACACTCTCTTTCCAACTGTATTCCATTCCACAACAGGACACCAAGTTTGCTTCCTTGGATCATTCCTATTTTGGCATAAGTAGTTAGAAATATAGCTTTGAAGTTGTTTGCCGTATTTTTTTATTTTGCTCCAAAATTCATATCAAAGTTCAATCAATGAATGGAATGAAGAAGTAAAGTTTGTACTAATTATTTCATATTGGAAATTTCAATATTTATTTATTTGATTTCTAGAGCCACCCATTTCAGTAAGTGATTTGTTCAATAACTCAATATTTCACTAACTACATCTATAACTGGAGAACATTTCCTCCAAATTCCACAAAAACAACTTTCTATTGTTTTTGCACTACTCTCAGATTAAGAATAAGAAAACGGAGGTGCACAGCTCACTGTAAATTGACTAGAAAAAGAACACTCAACTCTAGTGTGAAAAGAACAAAGTTTGCTTTGCTTAATGATAGGGCCGCCACCCGAACATTATTGCCCCAAAAAGGAAGGCAATGGTATTTTCTCTTCATTCACACAGTGCGTGGGATTTTGCCAAATAAATAATCTGCGCTGGTTTGTAAGATGAACTGTAATGTATTTTTTTTTCTACCTGAGTCCTATTGACAGACATAAGGATAGGTTCATACACAATAGACCATCCATGTGTTAATCCATTTTCTGGGGTCAAACAATATGTCGAGTCACAAACTAACCCAAGGAGATGGGTTTGCAAATCATAATCACCCACAAAAGATTGAACTATAGTTAGGGTTAGGGTTACAAGCTGCTGTCATTTATCTGACATTTATCTAAGGCAAAGAGTGCCCAGATTTCAGCAAGTATGAATGAATGAGCCCATATAATACAGTGGATAAAAAGTACTGGCTCCAATCAGAAGACGTGCAGTACAGGGGGTGGTTGGCAGCAATGTCATATCTTTCATCTGATTTACTTCACAGAGTCGTCAAAGGCATAGAAAGGAATTATTTTCCGCATGCCGTTTGGAGCACATTGGAGGAAATGGGAAATGGGAAGAGTGGAGATGAAAAAGCAGTGAATGAGTAAACTTGTTTTCTTATTGACAGGTAGCTCCTCCTCACCTGGGGAGGAGCCAAGAGGTACGGAGCCTGTGAAGTCACTCATCTCCCACAAAGCTTCCCATAATGTACGTTCCTAGGGCTTGGAGAGATTTGAGTTTGGTTATGGTAATTTGTAAGCAGTTTCCAAGATATCAAGGATCCAGCCATAGAAACCTCTGGAGTGTTCTTTCTCTGAAGTAACCTTGAAAGTCCTAGTGGTGCTGGAATTGCCAAACAATTCTTTTTCTATGTAGAAAATAGATATATGTTTTGGATTTTTACACAGTCCCTAAATAATCCTTACTTGATTCAAAGTGCCTGATGTAACCTTGCTTAAGGTTCAAAAGATCAAGTCAAATCTTTGTCATGGCCACAGATCAGCAAAGGGTTCAAGAGAACTTGCAAAATATAAATAGAATATTTACAAAGTATTTAAAACAATATAAAAATAATAAAGCTATAAAGCATCAAAAAGACATAACAGCAAGCATAAAAAGCTGCCCATCTAAGTATCTCTTTAAAAATAAATAGGGTGCTGCTTGATAATTTTATGGTGCATCTTGTAACTAATTTCCATTTCTGTGTTCATCATAATGCTCTCTATCTTCTTCCTGCAGCATACCCAGCTGCCATCCCTGCACTCCAAGTCCATTAAAAGTAACTACAATCCCTTTAATTGGAATTGCTAACTGCCTGTTTGAAAAATATAGTAATTGTACAGTTTTAGTTAAAGAAATGGTATAAGAAGAATCAATGAGATACCATTCCTCCTGACCTCCTGACTTCCACTTTTTAATAAATCTAAATGGTGGGAAAGCCAAACATGGAATTCCTACATTATTTTTCAGATCTCAGTTACAAATACAGGTCTGTTTAGAAACCAGACGTATCATGCAGACAGATTTTACATTTGGGGAAAGGATGCACTTCTACCATCACAAAATCATTTTGTGAGTGGCCAGGAACCCTGCAATTGCAGTGGAATATACCTTTGAGTAATGAATAAAATCATAATACGCTTGTTTGCTTTTGCAATCTTAAACCAAATTTAAAAGTACAAATTTTCTTTGAAAAAAAGTACAGAATCTCAAAGCTAATTCTATCTTTCTCCCATAAAACTGTAAACATTGCCTCAGGGGACTCTGAAAAAGTGAACTAAAACTGAAAGTTTAATGTAACAGAAGAAAAATATTAAATGCCTGTTTAGAGAAAAAATATTTCTAATGAACATTTTTTTTTAAAATAGCACAAACCAATCTTGACCAAGACTATAAATACTCAAATTCAGTCAATCCTAGTGACTTCCAGGGATACACCAGGAAATCCTAAGGCTATAGATTACTTTGGGACATCAAAAACATCCCTGAGGAAAACAATGCAGTCAGCTGCATATGGCCACTAAGAAACCCTAGCTAAAATTTGAGTGAAAGTTTATTTTAGGGACAAGGAAATGTTTTGCCTTGTTCCCATTGAATACACTTTGAATACACTTTGGAGCATACCTCTTGGTGCCTAAGCCAAAGAGCTCAGCCTGCCAAAAATTGCACAGTTCTGATCTAAACAGGAATAAGGGATACACAGCACAGGCTTTAGTGAGGTAGGAACAGCTTTCATGCAGGCTGAGGTGGTAGTGAACTTCCACCTCCCTTGTCCTCAGATGTGGAAACAACAATTCCTAGAACTCACAGTTAGCTCTCTACTTTTCTTTCCTAAAAGGAGGGTTTTCTTTTCACCACTGTTCCTTATGTCCTTAATGTCCTCATCAATGGAGGAGACATGCAGTGGATAAAATTGTTACAGTATATAAAATTCCCCAGTATATCCTTACTTACAGAAATATTGCCTGTTGAATTTCTGCAAATTGAGTAACTGTTACAGAGCACTGAAGGAAGAGTAAAGTGGCAATCATTATGACATGTTTTTGCTATTCTCTTCAGTCATATGTGGAACTTCATGAGCTGGTCATGGACAAGAACAATGAGTTTCGCTGGATGGAAGCTTCTCGCTGGATCAAACTGGAAGAGGACTTTGAGGAGATGGGGCAATGGGGGAGACCTCACCTTTCATACTTGACTTTCCAAAGCCTTCTAGAAGTGCGCAAGGCTTTTAGCAAAGGTGAGGAATGGGACTGCAAGGATTGTACAATTTTCCTTAAGAACTTGCCCTTTGATTGTTTCCAAACAATGTGCTACAAAAGAAAAAGAAGGGTGCTTGCGCTCACCCTTTCCATTGTCCATACATTATATATGTATTGATGGATTTGTTCTTACCTGTTTTCTTTCCCCAACAAATATTCCTAGAGTAATTTGGGGGGCCTGAGGTTTCCAAAAGGAAAAAAAAATCTGTCATTAATAATAGGTAATGAAGAGAGTAAATCAATACTGTATATTTACATCTGTATCTACAGTATACCTATTATATCCACATACATATCTACATGTATAACTATCTATATCTATTCATTTTATCTATCTATCTCTTTTCATCTTTCAAATCTTCTAGCCTCAATGATTCTGGAGTCTCTTTAGTAACAGTAGTGACCATGGCATTTATTTGGGGGAAAGAATTGAAAAATCAATTAAAAGATTTCCAATTTTCCTTTTGATATAATTAATAAAGATAATAAAATTCTCTTTTGGAATGATAAGCAAATATCTCTTTCAAAATATCTCTCTATTTCTGCATTTCTAGGAACTGTCCTTCTAGATTTACAAGAAAGAAGTCTAGCTGGGATTGCCAATCAGGTGCTTTCCCAAATGATCTATGAAGGAAAACTCAAGCCTGATGACCAAGAGGTGCTTTTAAGAACTCTTCTACTTCAGCACAGGTATTGGCAAGGACAAATATGAAAGATGACATTTCTCCACCCAAATAATTAATGGGACAACCAAGAAAAATGGGCCCCAATCCATGTCTAGCTCTTTCTGAATCAGGCATACTCCATAAATTAAGCTAGTGACAGATGTGTTATATATAAGTGGGAAAGGGTACTGAGAATGAAAGAACATATGATAAGATCTGCTCTCCTGCAGTAGTTGCCAATGCATAGTATTTGGATTTCATTCCAAGATCTGGACAAGTCCAGTAAAGGTCCTGCAAGATCGGGACAGCAAGGACAGCAGAAGCATCTGCCTGTCATGCTTAACCTATGAATGTGGCACTCAGGGAAAAAAAAGGGACATGTAAGGAATTGTCTTTTGTCTGCTAGCCTTTTAGTCTTCTATGAATTCAGTGTTTCTATTTCTTTGAAAAGAAAGGTATCAGGATGACAATTAGGATGGAAATTAAGTCTGCTGAAGAGACATAACAGAACTGGATGGTTTTCATTTTGAAAAGTTGTGACTAAAAATATAATAGCATTTGCCAAATTCCTGAAGGAGTGTAATATAGATCAAGAGCTGTTCTGTATGGTGGGAATTCAGAACATGGAGTAAGGGTCATATAGGAAGATCAATTTAAATTGAATATGAAGAAAACTTTTGTAGTACAAAAACTGTTCAGCAGTGGAACTATGAATAACTTTCAGTCAACTGTTGGGGATACTTCCATCTGCAATCTCATAGTGTCCAGGGACTAATGACCTCTTTCAACTGAATTAAGATTGTTAGACAATGCCTATAAATTAATCTGACAATTTTATATGTATCAGTTGTTATATGAATTCTTGCCTGAAGACCTAGGCATTAACTTTTTACTATTGCATTCTTATTCTTATTCTCTTCATTGAGCCTCATATTTTTTTTAAATTCTTTGCCCAGTCAACCTAGTGAATCAACTTCATTAAACACTCTCTTGCCTGCGCGGGTACAACGAACAGATGCCAAAGACACAACTGAACCACTGCTTCAAGAACAACATCAAATTGAGATGAAAACCTTTTTTAATGGCTCAGAGCAGGTAAGTTAACTTTGCAGTAAATAAATGAAGAATATTTTATGACTACAATGCCACAAGTACTGGGATTCAAACTATTATTTTTCTCATCTAAGTGTGGAATTGTACTCAGACTTTAGTTGTCCTCAGACTTAAAAGAGAGTAAGCAAAGCAACATCATAAAGCAAAGCATTATAACTGGTAGAAATATTAAATCAATGGATTGGCCAGACTTGGTATGACTGCTCAAGAATTTGAGCAAATTGAAGAAAGGTTGTCACCTTTTGCATCCCTTGCCTCAAATGAAGTATATATTATATAAATTACTCTTTAAAGTAAGAGAAGAAAATCCATCATCATAGCCTTGTATTGAGAATTTCTTTTTCTTGGATTATGACATAGTGAATGTCTACATAATTCAAGTAGGCTATCTTAATTATTTTACCTTAATTTGTTTCGTAAGCCAGGCAGCTACATGGTGGTCAAGGCAATGCATCTGATGCTGGGTCCTAAATTGTACTGAGTTTTACAATGCTCAAGGGAGCTCCATAATTTGACTTGCTAACATGCCAGCAACCAATGAAGCAATATAGCATGAAACCTGTAATTCAAAACCAATGGCTCCCTTCAACAGCCCATCTATTATATTTTGTAGAATTGCAAATGCAGGAAGTCCTACACATTATACAGTAGCACCTACCAATTATTAGAATACATGAGGGCAGAATGGAACCTTGAAGAGCCCCCGCTACTTAATTATCATGGGGACAAAGTATAGTGACAAAAAGGCACTTTTGAATACAGTCCTTCAGTAAAAATGGAGCTCCTGAACTATTGTGCTCTTGTTTCCCAACCCACAGAGCTAGTTTAGAAGGGTACCATTATCAAGAGTATCACAAGCTGCCAAAAAGTCAAGGAAAACTAGCTATGTTGTAGCCTTTCTTTTGTAAAAGTCATCAATCAGAACACATAAGGCTCATTCAATTCAAGACTGAATACATATTGAAATAGGCTTTCTTTCAGGAGCAGCTAAACCTGTATTATCTTAAGAGTCGCTTTTAAGTCTAATTTTCTCAAATTCAGAGTGTAATCTCCAAGATGTTTCCTTCTTGCAGGGAGAATCAAGTCATAGTGGTTTTAGGAAGCAGCTGTTAGAAAAAATTCCTCCTGATGCAGAAGCCACTCTGGGATTGGTTGGTAAGTATCTTCTATGTTCAAGTGCAAAAGGAATCCTGTTATAGAAAATGGTAGTGGACCTTTAGAGTAGTGCGAGAACAGCTGTGTTGAATGTCATTGTTCCATTTCTTGGCTTCTCCAGATAAAATTTCAGATAAGATCTTGAAAAATTGCTGCAATGACCTCAGAATATATGCTGGACTTTTGATGCACAGATGTTACAATACACCAGAGAATCATTCAAAAATTTCCAGCATTGTAGGCCACAATGTTCATATGGATGCCAAGAAATGGGTACATAGATAGATATGGGGTGGACTTGTGGAAAGTAAAACTATGTTAAAAAATGTTATTAGCTGAAATATAAATATTATAACTATTACACGAAAAAAGCCAGTACTATTATTAGCATTATTATCTGTCAAAGAGAAAATTCATTGTTATATTATCTGATGTTAAAAGAGTTTATTTTAGTGGCAACAAGATGAGCAATTACAAATTATTGGAAAACTTTCAAAGGGTTGAAAGTTATACATCAGTATGATGGAATACGGATGATGGCATGAACAGAAAATCTGACAGGGTAAATTTGGCCAGCGAAAGTATAGTAAATAAAATTCAGGGGTGATCCAAATTAAAAAGGAAATGATGATATGCACCGCGCAGGGAACTTTTTGCAGTCTATATGCACATCTTTAAATCAAAGAGGTTTTTTTTTTTTTGGTTGGGATCATAAAACAGCACCTTTACAGGCAATCCAGGAAAATATGCCACTTCTTTAAGGAACTACCGTGGATCACTTTTCCCCCTTCAAATCTGGATTATTACACAGCCCTAAAATTAATAAAAATCATTTTAATAAATTTGACTAATGGTATGGCTTAGATTTCTTCTTCCACTGAAGTAATATTTATTAATCTAAGATGAAAATGAAAAACATGAGAAACAAAACTGGATGTGTGTTGCATAAAATATCTATGTATTACAATCCATTGCATATATTGAAATGCATGCAGGTACTGTGTGTATGTTTCTAAATAGATATATTGATACAATGTATTACCTTCTTTATCAGTTTTTATTTTGTTTTTGTTAAAAGATGTGCTGGGCATAGGTCCAGCATTAAGCTGGTCTGTTTATAATTCTATATATGAAACTTTATAGAGCAATTAAAGTAGGCTTATTCTAATTATTTTAAATCTTAATCTTATTTTAATTATTTTAATGCAGCATGAACCACACCTTGATCTGTTGACATTAGTAGTGATGCAATTATCAGTTTGATCTATTGATTCTTACATTTCAAGCAATTCCAAAGCGGAGTTATATCACAGGTCTTCCTTTCTTTGTCTGGCCAACTTTCAACAACTCTTTGAGTACATAGAATAGAATAGAATAGAATAGAATAGAATAGAATAGAATAGAATAGAATAGAATAGAATAGAATAGAATTTTTTATTGGCAGAGTGTGATTGTACACACAAGGAATTTGTCTTTGGTGCAAATGCTCTCAGTGTACATAAAGGAAAAAGATACATTCATCAAGAATCATAAGATTAGTGATAGTCATAGGTTACTAATAAGCAATCAAATCATACTAGGAAACAAATAAAACAATATAAATTGTAATAATACAAGCAACACGGTATAGTCATAAGTGGAAAGAGATAGGTACTAGGAAGTGTTATTATAATCTAGTAGTAGAGGAATAATAGTAATACTTAGTAAATAAGTTGATAGTGTTGTGGGAATTAGTTGTTGAGTGATGGCATTCAGGGGAAAACTGTCCTTGTGTCTAGTTGTTCTGGTGTGCAGTGCCCTATAGCATTGTTTTGAGGGTAGAAGTTGAAACAATTAAATATTAGAATATATTCTGTTTTTTCGTGATCTTCTCAATCTACAGCATGTCAACTTACTAGAGATATCATATCTGGACTACAAAACTATCTGGAGATGAAAGTTAGTTCTGTGTACCTAGTTGCTGCTATCTAATAGTTATCCAGATTTCTGCAGCCCAGATAGGGTAACTTAATTCAACCATCACCGCTGTCTAATCTATAAGGTTGGGCTCCCAACTGTTTTGTATCTACATTGTTCAAAAACAATCAAAATCAGCCTTCAGAACTTACAGATTTTTCTTAATATCATCCCCTGTCAGAAATCAAAATCTAATACAAAAACACCAAATTGGGAAAGCAGATCTAAGGGCAAGACAGTCTAGGTTCACTTTATATAGAGATCTACATGAATATGCAGGTGTACAACTCATGAGATAATGAGGAATGAGGTACTGCTGCCACAAAGCAATTGACTCAGCCAACACAGGAATCAGAATCTTCAGGAAGTGACCAGTCCACCTAGACATAGTAAATTGGGAAATGAGATACAAAACTGTCCTAATTCCACGTTTTTGCCTTGGAGGAAAGAATCTAACATAATTTGGCAGATATGAAAAGTGCTCTGGCGTGCTTACAAGGTCTCTAGATAAAAAGAATAATACATCTGATTTCAGAATTTGCATTCCCTCAGTACTCTACATCAGTGCTTTTCAACCTTAACTTCTTAACTCCCTAGCCAGCATGGGGGATTCTGGGAGTTGAACTACATGCATCTTGATGCCACCAAGATTAAGAAACACTAGTTTCTTCAATCACAAGGATTAGCAAAGAATTTCTCTCCTCACATCTATATCTTTCTTCTTACTTCCTTTCTTTTCTCTTTTAAAGCAGAATGATTGTGTGTGTGCATGTGTGTATCTGAAGTATTAATAAGTGGGAAATCCTGAAACTGTTTTAAATTGCCATAGTTTAAACAATGCTGCCACACTGCCTAATTGTAGAACCAACACTACTTGTTTCTATGAATATATGCTAATCTTAAAAAGTTTGGGGAATGGGAATCTGCTTGCTGATTCTTGCTTTCTTGAGCATTTGGGCCAGGAAGAAGCATTTGGCAGGAACTATGCTTTGCTTCTCTATCTAGCTTATCAAACCCCGATTGCAATTGCTCACTTTGCTGTCTCCCTTTCTCTCCCCTTGTTCCCTTCTCTTCCACCCTTTTGCCTCTGCTTGGATTCCTTTCTTTTTTGCCCGCATTTTCTCTCCTCCTGTTTCTCTTTATGCCAAAGCCCCTAAACTATGTCCCATACCCATCCATCCTCCCTTCAGGCTGTGCCACCTTCCTGGACCGACCTATTCTGGCCTTTGTACGCTTGAAGGAGGCTGTGGAGCTGGACTCTGTTCTGGAGGTTCCTGTCCCTGTCAGGTTCCTTTTTGTGGTTCTGGGCCCTGATTCCCCCCACATTAGCTATCACGAAATTGGGAGAGCCATCTCAACTATGATGTCTGAGAGGGTAAGTTGGTTTTCCTTTATTCATGCAAGGGCCCCAAGGAAATAATGATAGATTCTGCTTTCAGAAAAGGTTAGCAGGTGAGTATTCAACAGAAGGAAGCCCATGTGAATAAGCTGAGAGCAAGGCTGAAAGTTTCCTCTGACAGCTTTTGAGACGAAGCTGTTCAGTACCTGTATTGTCCCCAAAACTGAGCCCTTGCTCGGTGTCGAAGCCGATAAGTCACTGGACACAAGGTGTGATACAAAATTATACTTTTATTTTGGTACCAAGATATAAGGACCCTGGTTCGAAAAACTAACCAAAAGCCCCGATTACAATCTTACAGCAATTTTTATAGTCAAGGGGTGGTCGCATTCAGCCCTTTGTCCTTCCCCCAATAATGCATGAATAACAGATAATATTGATTGGTTATTTGGATCTCAGCCCCCTACATAGCTAAATGTCGCATCACCTGTGTTTCACCCCCAGGTCACAGGCATCTTGCAAAATGTCCTAGTTTCATGTGCCAGCTATGTGGTTTTTGGGGTTTCTTCATATAAGCAATTCTTGTTCCTAACATCCTGGCTAGCGGTTTAAGGTGCTAACTTCTGCCTCGCTAAGAATGTGTAGTTCCCACCCCTTTCCTATTGCAGAGCAGCTCAAGGTAGCTCCCCACTCAGTGACCCCCCCCCTTTCCTCAGAGAAAAGTAAAAGCAGATTTAAATCTTTGTCTGAGGCAGCACCCCCCACTCCCCCCGTGACCCCCCTCCTTCTGTAGAGAGGGACAGGAAGGAGCAAGGCTGCTTAAGGCACAGAAATGAAGACAAGAGAAAATGTTTTATCAGAATTCATATTCCGCACTCTCATGTCCATTCCATCCATACCGGGGTCCTATGTCCACATATGACCTTTCCTCTGATCCCCAGGGCCTCCTCTGTACATACATCCCATCATCTGATCCTTCACATGCCCAGTGTAATTCTGATGTTGAAGAAATGGCTTCCTGGAAAGGACAAAAAAGAAATCCAAGTGGCACCAGAATCAAAGTTAGAAAACTGGTATGAAAGGTGTGAAGTAAAGGATGAAGACCCCAAAGACCTCCCTGCTGTTCCATCAGCATGAATGCCCAAAATGGGGATGCATTGTTTGAGGGAGGCTTATAACGACTAGAATTTTACATAGTATTAGGCATAGAAAATGAGAGGCCTGATGAGGTTTCTCCAACCAGCAGGTGGAGCAGTAAGGCTTTTAATAAGCTTCCCATCTACTACTACCACAAATAGGGGCATCATAATTGCATAGGCAAGATTTATTCTTCTCTCTCTGCCTGCTGTGATCAGTTCAGAATATCAGAACCTCACACAGTTACTGGTCCTGGAAAAGAAACTCCATGGCCTTTTCAGTGGCTTATTGTTTCCTGGGATGGATACAAGTTTCTGGGAAGTGTTTGGTCTTTGGTTCTTGGTTCTCACTTTCTCTACCATGCCATGCAAGATCTAGAGGCACAGAAGCTATTAGGTTGACAGAAATTACCTATCACTGAAAACTCTTGGCAAAGCATTTCCAAACATTTTACAATATAGGCAAAATGGGCAGCTTTCAATACAGACATTTTAGAGAATGTAGTTTTAATAGCAAAATCATTTTACTTTAGAAGTTTGTCTTAGGAAAGACTTGTGGACATTTATTTTTCAGTTCCGTTGGTTTTAACATCTAGAATTGCTTACATTCATTGGTTCATTTTAATCTGCTAGAGAGGCGTGTTTCAGATAAATCTGATTCAACTCTTCATTGAAATACATAGCGTTAACAAGTAACCTAAAATGAATTGTTTATGAGAAATTGGACCTGTCCCCTTATCTACATCACTAGTAGAGTACTGCTTCAGACAGAGTGGAGCAACAGCCTGTGAAATGAGCCCACTCCATTCCTGCCCAGTGCCTCCCTGAGCACTGTTTTATTTTCTTTCTCGGAGTAGGTATTTCGCAATGACTCCTATTTGGCAGAAGGAAGACAGGACTTGATAAAGAGTCTGGATGAGTTCCTAGATTGTTGCATTGTCCTCCCACCCTCTGAGATCCAAAGTGAAAGACTCCTCAAAATGTTGCTGCCAGTGCAGAAGGATTTCCTAAGGAAGAGGTACCTCCCAGTGGAGAAGAAACTGGAAGAGCCACTAAAAGACCTAGGTATGGTTAGACATAGCTATGGTTTAGTGTAGGAGGATAATTTAGCCTAGTGTCTCTCAGTCTCAGCAGCTTTAAGAAGTGTGGTTTTTCAACTCACAGAATTCTCTATCCCATTCATAGGGTCCACACACTTCAGAGTTGTTGAAGTTGAGAAACACTAGTACACGGTTCTCTGCTTGAGTCAGACGTAGTCAGGGGTGGGATTCTACCAGTTCACACCTATTCGCTAGAACTGGTTGTTAACATTCTAAGCAGTTTGGAGAACCAGTTGTTAGAAGAAATTGCTGGCCTAATCCTGTAAGGAAGGCAGGAAGGAAACATTCTGGTGTTGCTTACAGAAACTGCCTCTCTGTTAACCCTTATTACATTCTTGGCAGGACTAGACTTCCTGTCTCTCTGGAGTTTTTTTCCCCTCCTTTGCTGGTACTTTGCTTGTGTGGAGTGACCATTTAAAGTTACAATGGCACTGAAAAAAGTGACTTATGACTATTTTTCACACTTACGACTGTTGCAGCATCCCCACAGTCATGAGAGATCAGGCGAGGAGATGCGTGCCTCGATGTGAGTGACATTGAGTTGGCCACGCCCAGCCAATAACATGACCACCAAGCCACACCCACCAACTAAGCCACACCCACAGAACCGGTTGTTAAAAAATTTGAATCCCACCCCTGGACATAGTGAATTCAGGCATAGAGTGATTTCTTCTAAGAAGACATTAGTAAGCTTATACTATTAGCTTCTGCAAGAACGGCTGAAGGAGTCCATATTTTAGTTTGTTTATAAGGTGGGAACTTGCTGAGAAACTATTCTGGAAGATGTCCTGTCTCATATTTATGACAGACGTGTGGGGATACCTTGATTTTACTTAGTAGAATAAGTAACACGCATAATTGTATCACAAAACCAGAGACGTTGGCACTGAATATTAAACTCAGCCCCCACCACCCTAACAAACTTTCCAAAAATGTTTTGCCTTTTTTCAATGCATTTATTTATGTATTTAATTTATGTTCCACCACAATCCCAAGAGGCTCTCGGCAGTTTTGTGTGGTTTTTCTTCCCTTTCTTTTTCGTGCCATTAAATGAGTCTTGGCTTCTGGAAACTGCCTGGACAAGTTCATGAAGTTTTCTTGCCAACATTTTTCAGAGATGGTAGCCCTACTTTCTTGATCAAGAGAGAATGGTTGGCCAAAATTCACTCAATTGGCTTTGTCCTAATACAAGACTAGAATTCACAGTCTCTGGTCCTTTTACTCACTACTCCAAACCCGCTCTCTTTATTTGAGCACACAACTACTAAAATATTCCTGGTTAGTTTTAGAACAAGAACAGCTTTGTAAAAATATACAAAATGTATACAAAGATTAAAAAAAAAAAAACCCAGGCATTGTTCCAAACAATTTCCGGAGGAGCTCCCATTTCAGATGCTTCAAGCAGACAGTTATAGTCAGTGTGAACTTAAATTCTAGCGGGAGATAATTTCAGAGGGCTGCCCTTGCTACACAAAAACAGAGCCTCCAAATCTCAGCCATAGGTTCAATCCTATGTGTGGAATGCAGTGAGAAAAATTAGACATAAACCAGAACAGAGAGAAAGACCGTATTGTCAGTACTCAGAAAATGGCAATCTTTTGTTCTTGTAAATGACTTTGCAGAAAATAATTATGCAAACCAGAGAAATATATGTACATTAAAATTTAGGGTGTTAGTAGGCTTGTTTAATCTTAGCAGCACTTTCAGTCAAATGCTTTTTTGGCTTAATGATCATGGGATGGAAGAGGGATAACATTTAGATGGCAATGACTATTGCTTCAAAATGCAGATCAGCCTCACTATCATACCTGTCCTGCTTAGGCATCCACTAATCTTCTCTCCCAAAACAGAGCCAGCCATAAGGTTGAGGAAAGTTCATTGAAATGGTGGCCACAACCGGATGACTGCAGCTTTGCCTCTTTTTATATGTATTTAATGTGTATAATACACATTTTAAAAAGGATGAGGCTTCAGTTACCTGACCCTGCCTGCCATTTAGATATTGGTTGACAACCTCACCTCCCCCCAATAGACACCATTGTCTCATAGTCTATCCAGATAACTCAGCTGGGAGTTCCTCTAATGTTAAAGTTCCATATTATACAGGGCACCCTTCATTATTATGAATGAAATAACTCCAGAGATCACCAAATACCCATAAAAAGTGGACTCACATCCCAAGAGGGCCCTCCCTCTGAAAACTTCCTTTCCTTCCAATGCAGGGCACAAATTGAAAGACATCACAGCAGAAGATTCGGGTGATTCTTTACGCCGAACTGGAAATATTTTTGGGGGGCTAGTGAAAGACATAAAACGTCGGTACCCCAAGTATCTCAGTGACATCAAGGATGCTCTGAACCCACAATGCCTGGCTGCAGTCATCTTCATCTACTTTGCTGCCCTTTCTCCTGCCATTACTTTTGGAGGCCTACTTGGTAAGAGAAATTAGCAGCACATTGATATATAATCACATATTAAAGATCAGGAAGGTGGTACTTTTTAAAAATGCTCTGGAATTAACTTTCTGCTAGACCAGACGGACAACCAATAAGAAGCAGCATGTTTTCAAACACGAGTGCTTCAGGTGGGTTAGGACTATAATTCCTAGCCAGTGTTGCTAGCATAAGCTTTCTAGTAAAACATTATATGCTTTTTACCAAGACTGGTGATAAAAATCAAAATTAAAAACAATTAGAATAGGTTTACTAGATATCTGAAGAGGCGAAGAAGGATATAGACATTTGGAAAGGAAGAGATATGGAGGCGGGAGGAACACACTAACTGTTGAACGTTCATAGTGTCTACAACAAAATTTAGCAAAAATGTATTTAAGCTTACATATATATGAAATTACTTTTCCCTTCAGCTTTAGGGACAACATTTTTCTAACAAATATTTATTTTTAAGAACATATGCTAGCAATACTATAGAATCAATGACAATGTGCTTTTCAAATTCCACAAAAGAAATGTATAAATCATAATGTTATACAGTAATCATAGATTTGAAGGGGTTGAATTGAAGATGATTACTGGAATTGCAAAATCAATTTAACCACATAGATCTAGGTTATTGAATCTATCAATGGGCAAGGGATGAAAGGAGCAGACAGTTTACAAGGTCACAATACCCAAAAGTTGTAATGACGAGCATTGTGAAAACAGTCCAAAATTATTTTTTTTAAAAACCAAGATAAAAGCCAGCCAATATTTAATGCTATGCTTATCAGACAGAAGACATGTCCTTCTTTTACCTGACATCTGGTAGCCTAAGGTCTTGCCAAAGGCCAGGTCACTCATTTTGCTAAAATGCATATCAGGTTTCTACTAAATTATGCCCAAAATATTTACACAAAAAGCAAATTGTTAAAAAAAACACCAATGTGGAGAATGGAAATATTTATTCTGTACCACCAAGACTTATACAATACTATAGTAGTGTAATGCTGTAGTTTTCAACCATGTAATTTACTTAATTATTCTTAGAGAGGGTCAGAGGAAATTTATGCATTGCCTCAATATGTTTCATTCATAACTTACTTATTTATACCCAATCCACCCTCAGTCACTCTGGGCAGTTTACACAATTTATAATCTAATATCAAAAACAGTAAAAAGGCAATAACCTCCCACATCCCTGATGGCAACAATCAAATAAGCCACCAGATGAGATCCACTCTGAAGTTCCTGGGCCTGTTGGCAAAATCACATCTTCAGGGTCTTGCGAAAGGGTGTCAAAGTGGGAGGGCAATCTTATCTTCACAGGGAGGGAGCCATCACAGAGAATTCCCTTCTTGGTCCCACTAGATGGAATTCTTTAGGAGACGGGATCCATAGCATTCTCTGCCTTCCCACTCTGATGGGTTGGGTAGATGTGACCAGGAAAAAATGGTCCTTCTAATAATTTGGCTATATATGGCTTTGAAGGTAACAACTGGTAAGGTAAATTGGACCCAGAGGCAAATTGACAACCAATGCAACTCCCACAGCACAGATAATACATGTGCACATCTAGGCCTGCACAAACATGCGGGCCTCATTTTGAATCAATTGAAGCTTCCAAATGCTTTTCATGGGCACCCCCATGTAGAGTACATTGCAATAGTCAAGATGGGAGCTATGTCAAGACTAAGGTGTGAATGAATGTGAGCAGGTATTTGTCAAGGAAAGGGTGCAATTGGTGCACAAAAGCCCTTCAGGCCACAACTATCACCTGTTTCTCAAGCAGGAGTCTAGAGTCTAGAAGAACCTCCAGATAATGCCTTGGACATGTCTGGGGTAGTGCCACCCCATTCAAGACTAGAAATGGCAATTATCGATTGGCCAAAGAACACCAAACCCAAAGACATTCCATTTTATCAGGGTTCACTTCCAGTCCATTGCTCCCCATCCAGGCCTTAACAGCCTACAAGCACTGCAAGAGAGAGGTCATGTCATTGCTTAACTCACCATGGGCCAAGATATATATCTCACTGTCATCAGTATATTATTGATATCTCAGTCCATGGTGATGGATAATCTCACCCAGCAGCTTCATGTAGATGTTAAACAGAAGGGGAGAAAGTACCAAGCTCTATAGGGTACATATATAATGTGTGCACTTCATGTTAAAAAGGGGTATGGGCTTATCAGTTCTCCCAGGCAAACAAGACAGGAAACATGACCAGCTAATACTACTTTATTGTAAGGCTGAATTAACAGAATCTTGCAAGTCTGAAAGTACAGATCTCTTACTTTCTCTTTTCACAGCTTGATTAAGGCAGGTCCTTCCTAAGTTTCTTTCTCTGACTGCCAAACAACTGCAGGTTTCTTTTCAGCTGCTTCCTAAAACATATAACCTAAAGAACAAATAAATTTGAATGATCTGTATAGGCTAGCCCAATGTTTCTCAACAATGGTAACTTTAAGATGCGTGAACTTCAACCCACAGAATTCCCCTGGAAAATTCTTAGAGTGCAGCACCAGCACAACTGGTTGGAGAATTCTGGGGGTATACCTTCCTAAAAACTGCTAAGGGTGAGAAACACTGGGCTAAAGATAGGTTTCTCCAATAACAGTGGAAATAACTTGAAAAAAGTTTTATGAGGTATTTATTCAATGCGAGTTCATGCCTTATTGGGAATATTTTGTATTGAAAAACATACTTCAGTTGTGAGAAATATGCATTCACTTGTGAAAAAGACAGTAACAAATCCTAAACCATATGAATCTCTGACTCCTGGACAATGGAGAAGGGGACAAAAAAAGGGCTGGGCCGGTCCTATTTTTGCTAATTGTTATCTGTTTGTTTTCAGCTGAAAAGACAGACCGTCTGATAGGAGTCTCTGAGCTTCTACTCTCTACCGCAGTTCAGAGTGGACTCTTTTGCTTGCTGGGAGCTCAGCCCCTCCTTGTTGTGGGATTTTCTGGCCCCCTTTTGGTCTTTGAAGAAGCTTTTTATGCAGTAAGTATCCTGCCAGAAATCACTATGACATGTTGAAAGGGAACCAGATTGTTGTTACAAGAGAAAAACTGGATTTGATTGCCTTAAACCATAATATAGTTTATCTGAGCATAGTTTGTATTATTCCATCAATTGTCATTTTGAAAATAATATTTTAGTGTGCTATGAGTGCTCAGCAAATAATGGCTTAAGCAACCATAGCTAACTAATCCATAGTGGTGGTTATTTGCTTGAAGTATTTTAAAGAAATAGACTATTTTGGAAATTAATGGGTAATTTATGGCTATAAGATATGGGATGAAAAAAATCTCCATGTTGGTGGGTAGTATATCTCCCATTTCTAGGTGCTGGAGAGAGAAATAAAGACCTCTCTTTAGCTGGCTTCTAATCAAGCAGTGTTTCATATAACAAAATTATTCCCACATTATTAAGAACTTTCCAGATTATGCTTGCTCAATCTTATTACCATAGCAATAGAATATAGTGCCTTTTTCAATCTGATAACTTGACTTGTGTTAAGGTTAAATTCCCATAATAATCAACAAGTGTAACAAAAATTGGACTGATTGTGGAATTGAACAGCAGTACATTTGTAAGAAAGCATTATGAAATGCTATAACAATAAAAAAAAATTGAAGACCAATATAGGTTTCAGCTATCTCCCAACAGATATTGACTTTGAAGCTTCATCATTGTGATCATAAGCTTGAAAAATTTACACAGTCATTTTTCCATATTCTCATATATGTGTTCAACTCCCCAATTCCCAAGTAGCCAAGACAAAAGTTTTGTAAGATGTCAACCTGGAAAGGCTTTATTAAAGTGAAAGTGCAAACGAAGGGAAAAAATAGCATTTCAGCTATATAGTCTATGAATTCTTCTTTGCCTTCCTCATCCCCATCCTCTTTTCTATCCATATAGTTTTGTACGGCTAATGGCATTGAATATATTGTGGGAAGAGTCTGGATTGGCTTTTGGCTGATACTGATAGTGATATTGGTGGTGGCTTTTGAGGGCAGCTTCCTGGTACGTTTCATCTCTCGCTATACTCAGGAGATCTTCTCAATCCTCATCTCCCTCATCTTCATTCTGGAAACTTTCTTCAAACTCATCAAGGTAATGTGATTTATTGTGTTTGTACTTCTGTTGTTGCATGACAGTTGCTGGTAGTTTTGCTTCTTAGAGAGCTACTTTCTCCAAATATGTGTATTCCATTTTGTGATGAACAACTCTCAGAATTTCTATTCATTGGCTATGTGATTTGGGATATGTCTTAACATATTTTGATGACATTACCGTAATAAGGCAATAGTACCTCCAAATCTATGACAAAGATATCAAAATTTGTCTGCTGAAATGTTGTTTTCTGATGCGCTACTTGAGGTAAGGCTGATTGCAAAGAAAGGCATTAAGTTTCTTTCTCTTCATTGTGTCATTTATTCCTTGTGCTGGAATGCTGGGCATAGACTTGGGGTCCTGAGTTCTAAGCAGTATGTCCTTTGTTAATATTATCTTTTTTTGTTCTAGAATTTTTTAGGTTCTCACCAAATTAGAGATATTCTGGCCAAAATTAAAAGAAAGGCCTAGTTACTTTGGCCTTCTCTCAACTTCTGCATGCTTTTGCCAAATCACATTACGTCATGGCCATACATGTGTCACTGTATAGCTTGTATATCACATTTCAGGTCACAAATGTTCTCTTATAGCAACTCTTATGACTTGACAAGAACATATGTATTAGTTGTATAGTTTGCATTTCCAGTGTCACATATCCAGGGTGTCTTGCTATCCATGTCATGGTCATGGAATACAAGATGAATGCTTTTCTACAACTTCATCTGATTTCCAGTTTTATTACTTTTAGGCAAATTTTGAAGCAGTGGATATTTTAACAGACTCAATATTTCTTTCTGCTTCCCATTTTTTAATGACAACTGCCTTCAGTAACTACTCTGTTGCAAACATTTTAATTAATGCTTTAAATGGTAAAGGTGATTTAAAATTATCTGGGTACTTAAACAGCAGAAAAGCTTTGAAGCTGTGGTGGTACTTTTGTAGCTATGATGGTACTTATTTCCCATGACATCCCAGTCAATTTTATTCCCATTTTACAAATGGAAAAAATCAAAACAAAAAGGCCAGACCTCCCAATTTCCACAAAAATAAAACCTAACCAGAAAATAAGCCCTAGCCTGATTTTTAGCATGCTTCTAATAGAAGGCTTACCCCCAAAATAAGTCCATCATCAGCTGGAAGGGGATGTGGGTGGCCAGCACCAGAGGTGGCAAAGGTGCAGAGGCCAATGGTGTCTAGCAGCAGCTGCAGCCCACTAGCCCCTTGGTCAGTGTAGTCTGGAACTATGCAGCTGTGCAGCGCAGGTAAGATGATTACTTGTCCAATCAGCAGGTGGAGGCAGAGGTGCGGGGAGAAGGCAGGCAATCTGGATGTGCTGTGTGGGCTGTGGGATAGTCGAGAATTGGTGACCTGGAGCAGGTGAGCGGCCGCGGGAAGCTCATCTTCACATCTCTCAGCTTGTCTGCGGCCCATGCAGTGCATTGTGATAACCTGCCTCCCCCCTCCCATCCTGCCTCGGTCTCCGTCTGCTGCCAGTGCCACCATGCGAAGATGAGCCTCCCAAGGCCACTCAGCCACTCTGGCCATCCAACTCTCTGCTTTCCTGCAGCTTGCACAATGCGTCCAGATCACCTGCCTTTCCCCCGTGCCTCTGCTTCCGTCTGCTGCTTGAACAAGTAATCAACTCTCCTGTGCTGCTTGGTCTGTGCAGCTCCAAAGTTTGCTGCTGCTGGACATTGTCAGCCTTGGCGTGTGTGCCACCTCTTCTGTATGTGCTGGGGGATAGGGTGCCCAGCCAGATTGATCACCCTGATATTGTGTTTCCCTGAAAAAAAGTCCTAATGCTTATTTTGGAGCCCCATAAAATATAAGACCAGGTTTTTTGGGGGTGCGGGGGGACAGTATCTGTAGTAACTCATAGTTTTGCATGGATGGAAAAATGGAAGATGTTCTGTTAGCACCAAGCTGCTGGAACATATACCTTGATTTCAGTATGTTATTTTGCCTCAAGTTTTTAAAACTGTGTGTTTTGCCATAGTCTCCTTCCTCTTATCCTCACCATTATACATGATTACTGTTATTAACAGAGCTTCTGCTTCTGAAATTTTGTAAAATTGCTTCAGAGATCTGCCTGTCTACTCTTTGCCCAGCCCACTCCCCAGAACAAGCTGGTCCAGGAAGCAACACTGCCAAGATGCGGTTTCCATAGAAACTCAGGAACAGAAAGGACTGGGGGGAGGAGAAGAGCTGGAAGAAGAAAGAAAGGGAGCTGTTGCAGGTGGTTTCATTTAGAATTACCCCTGTAGAGATTTGATAGTATTGGATTAGGTATCTTGGGACAACTGGACAAGGCAAGGCAAAGATTTGGAGATGATGAGTGAAAAACAAGGAGAATCAAGAAGCGTAGAAAACACGGATGCCTAACATCTTTAAGCAAAAGATCCAGACATACATTAAACTCCCCATCTCTGCCCATATTAATCTTTTCATCATCAAAAAATATCTTGCAGCACTGTAAAGATTAATTTATCATCATGTGATCTAGAAACATCCTGACACTGGGAACATCACAAGAGGGTGCCAATGATGTCCAAAATTGAATCAATTAATAAATGTAATTTGTTATTTCATTAAAAGTGGCCCAAATCTTGCAGAACCATTGGATCTTTTAAGATCTCTATGTTCTTGAATGTGAAATGAGTTTTCATGTGAGAAAGCTGTACTATTTGATGACATTTATTTAATTCTGAGGACCACATAATATCACCTATTGTACAAGTATTTTGAAAAGACAGTCATACCTGCACAATCTAAAAACACTTATGTGATAACAGATTTGTTAGCCTTTAAGGCTATGAAAGTCAAGAATGTCCCAGAAGACTGCCACAAGACTGTTGCTATTTTCTGCAGAAGATTAGCATGGCTACTCCTTTACAACAAAAGTCAGCCTTCTTCAAGTTACTTCCCTTCAGTTGTGTTGATTACAAACTCCAGAATTTCAGCCTGCATAGCTAGTAGGCAGAAATGTAATGGTTGAGTAAGTACTATCACGTTAATATCAAATATTGGTAACCACCTGGATAGTTGTTGTTGACAATGATTTGTTTTCAAATTGGCTCAGGGCCGATGGAGGGTTGAGATCTTGGAAGCAGGGGCATCCAAAAAGTGGGGTGAAAATTGTAGGTGCCACTAGATGACCCAAGTTTGATTGCATTCCAGCCTGTGCAATGCAAGTGTCATATTAAAAGAGGGTAGAGCTTTAATCACACTTGCCATTTTAAGATTGTGCATTCACACACCTTATATTGCTGGGACAACTGTCCTAAACAATAAATGGATGTAGTTAGCAGCCAACTCAATCTTCATTTTAAAATATTTTTAAAAATCTGGTGGCAGGGTACTGTTTTTTGCTATCTTTTCTCTTTCTTTCACTGCTTTGTCTCTGCTCATATATAGGAAAGTTGTATATGAGTTACTCTGTGATAGGATGCTGCTATCTTTGATTTCTAGAGTGGTTTTCTTCAGCCTGATATTCTCCTCCACTAGTCTCTTCTTGTTTTGGGACGATTACTCTCCAAATTGTTAGTCAGTTTGACAGACCAAGGACACCTCGGTTAATCAGCCTCAAAAGCTGCATTCCAGCACAATCACAGAGTAAGCCAAGATTTCAGATAGCAAGGCCCAAATAACATCCTTCTGGTCTTAGGGAATAAATTCAAAACCAATTCAGTATTTTTGTGCCATAAGAAGAATAAAAGCCTGAAGAAATAATTTGCCCATCCTACTGGAGAAGATGAAAACACATTTGGATAAACAGGAGACACAAGGTATATTCTTTGCTAAGCCTTATGGACAACATACACTGAAGTACAGAACAGCCAACATATCTAAACAATTTCAGCTCAGATGATTAGGGTATGTTGTGTATCTAGAAAACTGGATTCAGGAAATACGTTTACATTAATCATAAGTACATAGATTGTGTAGAGAACTACCAAACTCTTAAAGTAAAGCTACTTCAAGTCTCATTTGTCCCACATGGTGCAAATACAGGGGTGTCTAAAGATCTGAAGACCACAATTGCACTGCAGCTGAGGTCATTTTACTATGAGATCTATCAGAATTAATCAATCAGATTAACGGAGTTGGAAGGGACCTTGCAGGTCATCTAGTCCAACCTCCTGCCCAAGTAGGAGTCCTTACACCATTTCTGACAGATGGCAGTCCAATCTCTTTTTGAAAGTTTCCAGTGATGAAGCTCCCACAACTTCTAAAGCCAAGCTGTTCCACTGGTTAATTGTCCTCACTCTCTTTAATTCCAGGTAGTTTCTCTTTAATTCCAGGTAGTTTCTCTCCTTGATTAGTTTCCATCCACTCTTTCTTGTTTTGCTTTCTGGCGCTTTGGAAGATAAGTTGACCACCTCACCTTCTTGGTGGCAGCCCCTCAAATACTGGAATGCAACTATCATGTCACCCCTTGTTCTTCTCTCCAGACTGGCCACACCAAATCCTGCAATCATTCTTCATATGTTTTTGTCTCCAGGCCTTTAATTGTGTTAGTTACTCTTCTTTGCACTTTTTCCAAAGTCTCAATCTATATTTTTATAATTGGTGACCAAAACTGGAGGCAGTATTCCAGGTGTGGTCTTACTAAGGATTTATATAGTGGTAGTAATAATTCATGTGATTTTTATTCTGTGCCTCAGTTTATACAGCCAAAGATTGTATTAGTTTTGGCTGCTGCTGCTCACTGCTGGCTCATGTTTAAGTTATTGTCCAGTAGGACTCCAAAGTATTTCTCACAGTTACTGTTTTTGAGCCAGGTTTCATCTACTCTGTACTTGTGCCTTTGTTTTTTTCCTGTCTAAATGTAAAACCTTGCTTTTTTCCCCCTTCACATTAAATTTCACATTATTGGATAGGGGCTATTGTTCAAATCTATCAAGATCTTTTTGGATTATGAGCTTGACTTCTGGAGTGTTGGCTATTCCTGCCAGCTTAGTGTCATCTGCAAATTTGATGAGTTCCACTTCTATTCCCTC